GGATGTTGATTAATTTTCTAAGGACATTTAATAAATAATTTTAATGGCATGCATGGATGATAAGCATTTGGTGACGTTAGGAATGGGAAAAGTCATTTAACTAATTCGTTAAAGTCGCTTGAGATTGAAAGTGAAAATTAAAGTAAATCAGTAAAGAAATTTCTTCTTGATTCTTCAAACTTTCTTATATAAACGTTCAATTCCCAAAATACAAAAATCTTATGTCAATGTTTTCAACTTAAAAAGAATTTGACCAAATAAAATTGTATACAAACAAAAAACAGAACGATCCAATGAATTTCTTCGTGTCTAAGGTTGTCTAAGGTTGAGCACTTACAAAAGTATGGAAATTTAAAGCAAAGAAAGTCAAAAGTGCAAGAACCTATGAACTATTCTCAAATAATTTACTTTTTAAAGCCTTTTTCTTGCCTTTTAAATTATCAAATCAATATTTATTGATGAAAATTGTTTGCCCATTAAATGTGAATATAAAAATTCAAGTAAATAAAATACTGAAAATGACTTCTCAAATAATATTTTATTTTTTATTGAACGTGCAGAATGAACAACATCAGAGAAACAGAAAATGTAATAGAGATGAAAACGAAGTGAATAAAAGAAAGGGGATAATGAGATGAAATATTTGTGAAATAAATTAGAAATTCAATCTTTGAGCCAAGTTTGAATTTTCGCAATATTAATGAATTTAGGAAGAGTAAAACAGAGAGAGAGAGAAAGATGATTTAATGGGATGATGGAATTCTAATAGAGAAAATTTCCCTGGCACGACGTATCAAGTTTGAGAAGTCATTTTCGAATAATTAATGCATTCTTAATGGTCCCCAAGAAAATAGAGCAAAATGAATGTAAACAAAAAAAAAGTTATTCTTGTCTTGTTTCCTTCATTTAATGTTTAAAAAAAGAACTTTTCGAAATTTAAATCATTCAATAAACTACATTAAATTGAAATTAAATTGTTCTTTAAAGATTTTTGAAAATGGAGGATTATTAAATTTGAATTGAAAAAAAAACAGATCTAGTTGTTAAAGTATTCATATATTCATAAGCGAATTTGGTTGGTTTCTCTCTTTTCCTTTGGAAACTCATTTTGAAAAAGTAGTATTTTTTGTAAATGAACAGTTTTTTTTAAATTGAAGAGTAAATAAATTCAAATTTGAAATTTGTCAAATCTTTATAAGTATCCAGTGTACTCAGTTGTTAAGTCAGTTGACATTTTTAATACTAAAGTTCTTTTTAAGAACAAAGGTTCGAGATTTTATTAATTGTTTTTGATTCATTGATTTTTTTTTTGTTCAAAAATTCAATATTTGATCATCGATTCCATCTTACTAACTGAAAGAAGTCAAAAATATCTTCCAAAATCTACAAAGACAAAATAACCATTCACAATAACCAATGTGCATCATAATAAGTCCAAATGCAATGGTTTTAAAAAGTTTTTTCTTGAGGTTAAATTATGAAAAGGATAAAAGAGTGAAACCGACCATAAAACTTCAAAAAGGGGTTTAATTCAGATAGAAAATTGAGAGACAAAAAACAGATTAGAAATAAACTTAATGCATATTTAGCAAGTAAGAGATGATTAAAAAAATGAAAGGAAATTACTACTATAAAAATAATAATAATTTTCATTACACTGCACTGCCTTAAAACCTTTCTAAATACAAATTTAATGAGTGAATAAATTCGATGAAAATGTTCATTTAATATACTTTATAATCTAATTTCATGAGAGTGAAATATTTTCATCACATTTTATTCACTCTGTAGAGAATGTTCTATCGATTTTTTTTATATGAACCTTTAATCTATATTTGAATAAGCATTACTCATCAGTCGTTAATTTATATATATTTTATTCTATCGAATCTCATGAGATATTTAGTTTCATTTAAGATTTATGTATTTATCTTGTTTTCGTTCTCAAACTTTTTAGCTACTCAAAATGTATCTCGTAAGATTTTTGTTTCGTTCTTTGACTAGATAAGACATTAAAAGCGGAAATAAATGAAAGAAAAAAACGTATGCCAAATTAGAAGGTGAAAAAGAGTATAAAAAAGATTTAAATAAGATAATCAAATATGTAAAAGAATTTTTCTAAACATTTAAAGTCATTTCATCTCATTTAATTACTAGTTAAGTCCTGATTGGTCTGAAATTTACAATTTCACGAGTTGGAATATTTATGTATGCTTTTATGCTGATATTTTTTATGATATCATGTACACGTGATGTGTGCTGCAAATTGATATGCGGAATTTGATGACGGCTTTATGGCAAACATTGCTTTGATGAAAAAGCTATTGAAAGTTAAATTCAATTCAATGCAAGAATTAATAGGGCTCAAACTCAGCGCTGACTTCATTGAACCGTTCGGGTTAAATATTTAAAGCTTTAATCAATTGATCTTCTTATTCTTGTATCTCTCCAAGACATCACTCGAAATCACCCATCGAGAATCCCTGAAAAGATATCATGCGGTAAATTCTCAAAAGCACTATTATTTCTATAGAAAAGCATTCAGTTGAGTCATGAACCCGAAAGAAAAGTAAACCAATAATTTATTTTCCTTAAGCTAAACAGTAATTTATTAGAATGTGTTATGATGACCTGTAAAAAATTTATTGAAAAACAAAATTTCTCTCATTCCATCGCACACGTGTACTGTATATAATTCTAAAAATGTTTATTATTTTCCTCGTTTCATGTTTGTATGAAAGCACACATAAATATTGATACAAGAAAAAAGAACTGGAAATGAATATATCAAAAAAAATGTTCATTACGTCCAAATAATATCTTTTTAGCAAGTCAAAAACTTAAAAACAAAAAAAAAAGTTTTCATTAATCTTTATGTACTCAAAGTTGTTTATTTAAAAATTTATTACTTGATGGAAATTTAAATTTCATTACTTAATAATTTTTAATTAAATTATTTTTTCAATAAAGGTAAAGTCTTTATTAATAAATAAAAAGCATTTAATTTATGACAGAAAAACACAAAGAATATGATAAAGAAAAATAGAAATTTTGACTTCCCAAGTCATAAAAAGCTCATATACTAAAATATGATAGCCATAGAACAGAAATAATAGAATTTTTTCAATTACTCTAAAGTTACATGAGCAAAATGCAATAATGATTCGATATTAATCACTTTTATCGATGATATTCCATTATTATTTGAGATAATCTATTTGAAAACATTATTTAATCTTAAGATGAACATTTTGAAAAATATTAAGAAAAAAATTTCAATAGATTAAAATATCTTTAAAAAAAATATTAAAGTGTTTTGAAATTCTTAAATAAAAATGAATAAAATTGCTATTCTTTCATCTAAACATTTGATCTTCTTTGTCTCATTAATTTGTTTAATCTTTGAATTTCAATAGGTTATGTATTGGCAATTAATGTCTTCCTGCATCCAGCAAAGAATTGAGGAAGTAAAACTGGTAAACGTGAAAGGTAAACTTTTAATTTAATCCCCTTTCATTTTATAGATGCCCCGTATGATGCAAAAATGACATTTATTAGGTCAGCTTTGCAGGTTTAATTTATGTTTATTTTTGAAAATTATTAAAGAGATTAATGGATTTGTAAAGTTTACTTTTGAGTTATATAACAAGTTTGTGAACAAAACTATTGCTTTGTAATTTTTAAACAGGCAATTTTGTTATTGCATAAAGAGTCTCTCATCAAAAAAAAAGTAAAATTTAATTCATCTTTTGCAAAATGTCAAAGTTGATGTAAGTATTTAATGTCTTTATACTCAAAATAATCTAAACTTGTGTTTTAAAAGAAAAATTAGAGTTTAAGTCGATATTACACGAAATACAATGAATTTTTATTAAAAATCTATTAAGGACGTTCACTTATTACGTTACGCAAAAAAACGACTTTTTTTCACCCCCCTCCCACTTGTTACAAATTTTACAACTCACAACCCCCCCCCCCCCCCCCTGAACGTTCATAATTTATTTTATTTTTATAATTTTTTATATGTAGTTATTAAGAACATTTAAATTTTATTCATATTTCATCATAGTTTTTCTTTATTCATATTTCCCAAATTTGTTTTAAGTGATTATCAATTTATAGAAAAATTTTGGCTCTAAAACACAAATATCAAAAAAAAATACAATATTTCTTTTAAATCTAGACTGTTAAATTTCTTTTGTATTTTTTTTCTTAAACATCAAAATACTGTACAGCTAAACAGGTCATATTTTGTTTGATACTATTAGTATTCTCATAAATTATTGGATTGAAATATAAAGCAAAAATTCGTTTTTTTTTGAAGAAAATTCAAAAATGTCATGAAAAATATTATGCCCGATCGAATTTTGGAAAATTCAATAAACTTTGAATGTAAATATCACAATGATGGGATTATATTATTCATCATATGAATAACAGATTTAGAAAGATTTACTTTTAAACTTATGATTGATTTAATTTTGAAAATTTCCAAAAATTATGATTGTATTTTAACCCCCCCCCCCCCCCTGTGTTTCGTTACAATTTTTCAAACCCCCCTCCCCCCCCTAAAATGCGAACGTAATAAGTGAACGGCTCCTAATCAGTATAGATTGTAAACTGTTCTGCATATTAAACTATTATTTTGAATTAATTAACTTAGTTTACATGCAAAGAAGTTAATTCCTGCAAATTGCATAGTCGTTTGTTGATTGAATTTGTAAACAAAACCGTTATCGAAAATTTTCGAATTAAGTTCGAATTAGCAAGAATTTCAAAATAATAATTGTTGATCTGTCTTATTAGCCATTCTTCTATAAAAAACTCAAAATAAATCCATTGTCAGCTCAAGGAATCAGTAAAATATGATTGAATCCTTGATAAATAATCTTAGCTATCAATGAAAGTGTGAATAATAAATCAACAAGCAAAACTTCACCATCAAACTTAATTTTAAACAAATATCAAACTCACACAAAGAACAAAAAGCGCTTCTGATGCAGTCACAATACAATTCCAAACTTAAAAAGCATCCACGTCTATATAATTTTTCAACATAATTTTTAAAGAATAAATCTATTAAATACATTAAAATGAACATTTTTAGACTAGCTGGTGATTTGTCACATCTATTAGCCATCATAATATTGCTTTTGAAGATATGGAAGACTCGATCTTGTGCAGGTAAATTGAAAAAGTCGGCAATCAAAAAAATTGTGTGAAAAAAATTTGTCGGAGAATCAAATTATCAAAATCGGGCAGTGACAATAGCTCAGAAGATTATTAAATAAGTTAATAGTGATAACTGATGTGCCAAATACTTGATAGCCTGAATATTAATTAGAGAATGTTTGTCTAATGACCTCAAAAATGATTTCCGATTTTTGATAACGACAAAACAAAAAAAAGTCTGAGAAAATTGATTTATTTGAATTGTGATGATTAATACATAATTAAGTATTCATCATTCATTAAAAATTAATTATTAAGATTATTTGCATTGTTATGTAATTGATAGTTTTAGATACAGTTGGAAAAACTTGAAGATCCAGCTCTCAAAAATTTCGACCGACGACGTGGCTTATCAATTACAAGTTTATGCTTATACACGAACTATTGATATCTACAACAAACAACACACTCCCCTATCATCTTCCTTTCACTTTCATTAATTTAATTCTTTTGTGTCATTTTAGGCATTTCCGGAAAGTCACAAATCTTATTTGCAATAGTTTACCTTAGTCGCTATCTGGATTTATTCACAACATACATCAGTCTTTATAATACATTTATGAAAGTCGTATTTATTGGATCATCACTTGGTACTCTCTATTTGATGTACATCAAATTTCGTGCTACTTATGACCATAATCACGATTCATTCCGGATTGAATTCTTGCTCGTTCCTTGTGTGATTCTTGCGTTGTTAATTAATCATGACTTTACCGTATTAGAAGTGAGTATTAAAATTTACTGGATCAATGAAATGTTTACTGGATCATTGTTTAATAAACTTTCTTCCTCATCTTCTAGGTATTATGGACATTCTCAATTTATCTGGAGTCTGTTGCTATTTTACCACAACTCTTCCTCGTTAGTAAGACAGGCGAAGCTGAAAGTATTACGAGTCATTACTTATTTGCGCTTGGATCTTATCGTGCTTTGTACATTTTCAACTGGGTAAGTCAACAATGTCTCAAATAATTGAGTGATGACATTTTCGTTTTGAAGCTAGAAAAGTGTAACTTGATCAATAACAATGCATTATATGAAGGTCAAGTTACGTTCAAGTTCAATTTCAAGTCATCTACTTGATCAAGTTCGAATTTACTTTCCTCATACTTGCTATATAGAATCATAAAAAAATTTTTAATGTCAGACAGTTTCTATCTGTATGTCTACTAATTAATTATCGCATAATTATATTCTTAATGTCATAAATTGATGATAATTGTTTTTCTTATCAAAGAAATTTTTATCGCGATCATTAACTTCTCGCATAAACAAACCTTACCAAAATTGATTGATGACTAATATTTACTTTATTATTTTAGATCTATCGATATGCAGCCGAAAGTCATTACGACTTGATTGCTATTGTTGCTGGTATCGTTCAAACTATTTTGTACTGCGACTTCTTCTATTTATATATAACGAAAGGTAAGTTTTTCAAGGTTTTTTTTTTTGAAGATGACCAAACCTGAGTTGTCCATAGAAGTCAATGATTCAGTATCACAATCAAGCTAGAGATGAACAGGTTTTTATTCGACCATTTCTGAACTCAATTTGTATTAGGGCTTGGTCGTTTGTTAAATAAGTGTCAGAAATCAAAAAATGTTTACGTTTTTCTCTTTTCCTGGATATCTACGTAATTATCTCAATAGTTAGTGTTATAAAGTTTTTGAAACCGAGCATTTTCGTGTGCATAACATATCACAAAGTCTTTTAAATAACCCAGAAAATCCAAAAAACTATCGATTTCTGACACTGAAAAAATGTTAATTAATGATTAATGAATATTAATGATTTTTCTGAAAAACTTTGTTCATAACGGTCAAAATTTGAATTATTCCATTCGTTTGTTTACATCACAAAAAAAAATATGTGAATTAAAAAAATCGTTTGAAACTCATTAATTACACATATTTGGAAGCTGAATGAATAATTAGGAACAGATCAAGAAAAATTTATTGGATGCATTACAATGCTCAAAAGAAAACATTGATATTAATTTAAATGATATTTTGCAAAATAATTTTTCATTTTATTGAAGAGGAAAGTAACAAAAATTGAATTTCAAAAAAACCGTTGAAATTTAATGGATCTTTTTATTCGACCGAGCCCATTAAAATGAAGATCTGGCATCTTCTGTCTGTAGTCTAGACGTTAAAATGAATTTGATTGTTCTCATGCTGATTATGTCTAGCCTGTAATGAAATCAAGACAAAAAAAGTTTTAGGACATTGAAGGCTTGAATGTGGCTAATTACTACAGCTTTGGACATTCTTTGATTTGATTTGAGTGTCAATTTGATGATTTATACTCAATTTAATCAAACTTATTCTTCTTTAACTCACATTATTAAACCAAATCCAAATTTTTGTTTAATTTAATTTTAGTGTTGAAGGGCAAGAAACTGCAATTACCAGCATAGATTAAATAAAAGTTTCAAGTGAATAATATAATTTTTAAACTTCTTTTTATTAAATTTCCAAAAAAAAAAGATGAAAAAATATTTGTACAATGTATGAATGTCTCAAAAATGTAATTGAAATAGGAATTAATAGTTCATTTATGCAAGTTCCATAGGAAATTTCCTCTGCGCTTAGAAATTGAAGTTTAACTTTTGGTATTGAAATTATGCACGAGTCATGTGAATATTTGAGGATTTGATACTTTTGGAGGATGTTGCAAATTACAGCAAAAAACTTGAGTCTGATAAAACTTGAATTTCCATAATGCACAATTGACAATCTACGCAGAGATAAAAATCAGGCTGAAAATTATGAAAACATAAGCTAATGACCTCAAACGTTGAAAACATGCAGCACGTTCTATTTGATTTGTTTTTTTGAAAATAGGCAGCATATTGTATTTAATATGATATTTGGAAGCAAGGCGTACACTTTTAGGGAACTTCCAAAAGCTTGGGAAGTTTCCTGGGAGTGTACGCCTTGTTTGGATGTTAATTAAGATGATAAATTGAACTTTATCAAGTTTCCGAGTGACAATTCTTATAAAATCTCATCGTAGCTACAAGAGTGATGATAGGAACGCATTTAATCAACGAAAAAAGGTCAGTACATTTCGATAGACTCCAAATAAACCTACCATTACGTCAAAACTTCATAAATTGATAAAGGCTTTATGCATTTCTCGCGAAAATTATAACTTTTTGTTGAATTCCAAAGTTTGAACAACCAAAAAACTACTAAATCCCTCGACAAAAGTTCAACATTCTTACATGGGACGAAATGAATGCTCAAAGAACGTTCTAATGATAGGAAATTTTAACAATTTTCCCAAATGAACTATAAAATTTCATATTCAATTCTCATAATAATTAATTAAAATTTAAAATTTTGCATGAGGATTTTTTTCAGTTACTTTTCTTTTTGTTTTGTACTTTTTGTAATCTTTTCATATTTCATTTACTGTATAATGTGCTAATAAACCAATACAAGTTTTTATGTAGGCGTCAAAAGATCGTTTAAATTTATTGGTATATAAATATTTTTTTTTTGAAAATTTAAAGATATTAAAATTTAATTAACTGAGAATTATTTATGTAATTTTTTATCTTAATTGAAGAAAAACTTTAAGACTAGAGATCCTTTTGCGCAAATAAAAAAAAGTAATAACAGAAATAGTAACAAATACTTATTAAGATTTCATGAAAACAAGTAAATTTCTTGAATAAAAAAATACTTAAAATTGCAAAGATATAAAAAATAGCTGCAAATCTTTTGTTAATATCAAGTTTTATTTATCTACAATAGGGTATTATTACTACAATAGAGGTATCATGTTCTATTTTATAAATATTGAAAATAATTTTCATGTAACTTTTTTTGCGTTTAAATAAGCAATTTAGATGAATAAAAGAAAAGAGATCAGATGAAGGAAAAAGAACTCAGTTTGTAGTTGATTTAAGAAAAATGCTATATTGCCCATTTAATTAAAGAAATTCTATCGCGAGACCGCTAACAACTTATAGAACAAAAGTCATTATGAGAAAACGGAAAGATACATTTTGTTACCCTAATTATCAGATATATACCTAACTTGATCAGCTAAGAGTTCCAACGAAACAATCATAAATGATATGATTAGGCGAATTATGGAATTTCGAATCGAGACACGAATCGAATGTATTTTTTTGTGATTTAACTCATTCATTCCTTTGAGCGCCGTTTCAATTTCAAAGTGGCTTATTATTTCTTGTGTGGATCGTATTAAAAATAATTATTGAATGAAATTTTCATATTTTTAGGGCATTTTTGTGATTACTGGATGTTAATCTATTTTGTTAAGGTCAAAAATAGCGAAAAGCAAATTTTGCGCGTTTTCAGCATTCAGGTAAGAACTGCTTTTTAGTCATTTTTATTAAACATCCATTAGGATGAGAATACTCACCACTATAATACCGAGGATTTTAAACTTTATCAGAAATGATGAGCATATTACAATTTTACTACTAAGTTTTGTCTTATTTCCAATATTAGTTTAATATTTATATTTTATGTAGGATCAAGGATCTAATTTATAGATTAATGTTCTGAATAAATTTAGGCTCTCGTTTCAATCTTCTGTGGGCGTGACGTGATCCGTTTTGACAATAGTCCATTCATAGGTTAATGTTGTAGCTCTTGATTCTATTTCTTCCTTTGCACTTCAACTTCTTGACCCGTTTCTTAATCCAACGTAACCGACGACCTTTGAGTTACGATACCAAATTGGAGCTAGGCGTCTCAACTATTCGACCAGCATAACACTTAACTGCTTGCACATTAATCCTTTTAATATAGAAAATCCATAAACCAAGTAGCACATGATATATTTCTTCTAATTTTATAATTGGAGATATAATTTTTGTTTTCGTTGCACAAGGGTTCATCATATACTTAATTTTGTTCATCCAAATATTATGAAAAAAATAATTTTGTTTAGATCTCCATGATTCTAATTATATAAAAGAGTAAAATAGATTTTATGGATGATTATTGCTTTTCATAATTTGGTTTTGTCACGAAAACGTTTATTTTAAATTCTCAAGATAGGAATGAATTTTTATTTTAACGGATCTGAAAACGACATTAAACAATTTAGAGCATAATGTCTTGAGAACGACGCATATGTGAAATGCAGAAAATTGAATTTATATAGAACAGATTGATAATGATCGTATTTCTATGTTTTTTTCCTGCATCTTCTTTGGTTATTTATAATATTTGCGTGGAGGGTATTTCAATTTCAAATGGTAACATGTTTTGCATTTTTCGCCTATATATCCGGCTCTTGTGGGATACAGAATTGAAAGATTTATTGTAACAAACATTAAAGAAGATTGAATTTATAGGGAAAATAGAGATAAATATTATTACATGACAGGTCTATTAACGCACTTAATGAGACTTAAAAGGTGATACTGTTGTATATAAATCAATATATTTTTATAGCAGGCACATTTTAAAGTGTCTCAAAACTTAATGTTTACTTCACATTGTCTACGAATTTTAAAATTTAATATTTTTCATATTAACACCAAATTTTCAATATTTGTGAATTGAGTCTTAAAAATTAATTGTGCTTTTTAATAGCTTAAATTAAATTTATTTCTGTGTTTTGAAATGCAGCTGCTTTGAAGAAGGAACAAATAGGAACAAGAAACACATTTTCATCGAGTTTTGGGGAGTTTAGACGATTTTTTTGGATGAAAATTTTGCAACAAGTTTTTGTTTAAGTGTTGTCTGTTGAAGAGTAATTCAACTTTTACAGAAAAAAGTCTTGAGGATTATTGGCAATTGCCATTTAAGGAAGTTCCCAGATTTTTTTAAATTATTTGATTATTTTTATCAATTTATATTTGAACAATCTTAAAAGAAATTTTAACGTATGATGTGAATAATATCTTCAATCATGATCTGCTATATTACTAGTTCATAACTCTGTTGTGATAAAAGCGCGCTAAAGAGAAATATGTCTGTGCATAATTTATAAAGACATCGGAATAATTCGCTACTTAGGATGCAAAACTGTATCATGCAGTGAAGTATAACATAGAAATGCTTCATTGTTGGAAATTCTGAACATAAACTTTTAATTGAAAGTTATTTTTGGTATTTACTTTTAAATGTTTTTTAAAAATTATATTTTATTGATTCATTAAATAATATATGAAAAGTTGAATGTGCGTAGCATTAGTTGCGTTGCATTTATATTGCTTATGTTATTCTTATTTAAAAAAAAATATAGGGTTAGTCTGGAGTTCCTTCTATCATCCATGAACAATATTGACCATAATAATTCAACATTAAAGTTGTGAACACATTAAATTCGTATTTGTGAAAATAATATTAAATTTCTACATCTCAACATCGGACATTCGTCTACTTTTCCTTCTCATATATCTCTTTGACAGTCCAATAAAAATAATCATGTCAACAAAAAGTAAACCAGCATAAAATAAAAACTCGTAAAACTGTGTACTAAAGAACTTTGCACTGCTGACAAATGTGATGAACAAATTGCCAATTGCAATCAGTAGGAAGACAATAGCAGTCATGACAGATTTCATGCCATGTGGTGTTTTTGAATAAGCAAAATCAATGAGAGAAATGTAAACAAAATTCTCGCTGATTGCCAGGACTGCAAATTGAGGTATCAGCCATAAAATTGAAATTTTTTCTTCTTCATAAATGTTGACTTCAACAATTGCTGCAAGGATGAATGAGAAACAGCACAAAAATCCACCAATTGCAATCCTTTGAAGTAAACATCCATAACCAAGTTTAGCTATGATGGGAAATAAAATGAAATTACAAATCGGCAATGAGATTATTGAGAAAATAGAGTTCAATGCAATCATTTGGTCAGGCTTGATTGTAAAAATTCCAATATCACCATTCATTTGCATAGCTTGAAAAATCCATCGTGATCCTTGTTGAGCAAAAACTGCCCAATAAAATGCGGTTGGAAGGAAAATCACCAAATTTTCAAGAACCAACTTCGTGGCTTTTACGTGATCTTCTCCGTATTTATTTTCGGCATAGTCGAGCCAGTGACTTTTAACTTCAATTTGGTTGGACTTCTTTAATGCATAAGTGATGGAATTGATCATTTTCATAAACATGTTTTCAGAATAATGGATGTGTATGAAGGCTGATTTTCCGAAAATCATTATTATAAAAGCCAACAGGATTGTTAAAGTTGGAGTTCCAAATGCCATAAAGTAGCAACTATCATCTCCAAAGCATTTAACATCTTCTCGAAGAATTGGTGCAACAATACGACCTAGCAAGGATCCGAATTTGATGCACAGCATTTGAAGTGGAAAATAAAGTTCAAGACCCTTTGCTTCACCTGGTAGAACATATTGATCAGCACCAAAAGCAACTAAGTTGGACCGCATACTTCCCAAACTTGCATAGACTAGTACAAGACCAATTAAAGTTGACAATCTGAAAAATACGAAGAATTTTGAAAATTAAAATATTTAAAAATTGCTCTTAAATTACATTTTAATCAAGCTAATGCTCCCGATCGTGGACAAAGTAACAACCAAACCTCCAACAAAAGCTACAAAACACATTGTCACAATAGCTTTAAATAATCCACAATAACTTTCTGCAAGAATGGCACCAAAAAGTGGACAGAAAAAGGTAAAAAGCTCATTTAAATGATAAATTGCAGTCGATGAACTTTGATCAAATTCAAGTTTCGTGTGCAGATAAACAACAAGAATAGCTGAAATTAAAAAAGTTATAAAAAAAAAATTTGTCGATTTTTTTTTATATTTTTACCGCTGATTCCGGTTGCACAAAATCTTTCTAAAAACTTGCTGAATAGCACTAAACAAACTGATTTAGGAACTCTTCGATTAGTTACAACAGCTTCACTAGAACAGTCTGAATTCGCCATGTTTATGTTTTTCGAACGTCTGGACAGACTCACAATTGTCAAATGACTCAGAAAGTTACATTGATACTATAAAAAATGTACCGAGAGACAACTGATAGACTTTATCACTTATTGAAGTATCTAATCAAGAACATGTTTTTCGGGAACATCAGAAAGGTCGTGTGTGGAAAAAATACTATAGAAAATCGGAACAGCAGTGAGAAGACAACTGTTTTTGGAAACAATATAATATTTTTATTGTTGTTTCAAGATATTTTCTCTAAATTTTCTGTGTATTTTCTTCATCCAATTCTATAATGTTTAAATCACGATACTTATAACGCTTGGCTAGGAATACAAAAAAAATTGTGACAATAAACATCAAAAAGGCATAAAACAAAAACTCATTGACCAAAGAGTCAAAAAGTCGCAGTCCACTAATTGTAAAGACAATTACACTTCCGCCCGCAGCCGACATATAAGCAAATGAAGTTATAACAGACTTCATATTAAGTGGTGATTGTGTATATGCAAAAGCAACATTCGCAACCCAAAGAAGAACTTCTGATATTGCGACCATTAAGTATTGTGGAAATAACCAAAGAATCGAAATCGAGCCTTGACTAATTTTAAATTCAACGTATGCTGAAATGACAAAGGAAAATGAAGCGCACACCATCCCACAGCCCATCTTCTGTAATGATGATCTAATTCCAAATTTCGCGAGAATTGGGAAAATAAATTTGTTAAACATCGGAATCAATATGATTGTAAATAAGGGTCCGAGAACGATCATCTGATCAGGTTTAATCGTGTACCATCCAATGTCACCATTCATTTTTGTAGCTTGAAAGACCCAACGTGATGCTTGTTGTGATAAAAGGGCCCAGTAAACTGGCAGTGGAGCAAACATCGTTAAAACATTGAGAAGATTTTTTGTATCTTTAACAAGCTCCGGACCAAACTTCTTTTCTGAAAAGTCAAGCCAGTGATCTCTTGTAATAGATGAACTTATTGCTAGGAGTTTCTTTTTCATAGCATACTGGAAATAAGAAAATTTGAAGAGCATATAATCACAAAGATTAATATCAGTTCTACCATAATACACTTGAAAACATTGATTACTGCATTTCCATCAGCTGGAGGGACATGAATGAACTTCTTCTTTCCAAGCAGCAAAATCATAAAAGCTACAGAAATGGCCATAGTTGGAGCACCAAAAGCTACAGGATAACAATCATTTTGTCCAAAACATTTCACGTCTTCTCTTAAAATTGGAACAAAAATCATTCCAGCGACTTGTCCAAATTTTGTGGCAAAATAATGCATTGAAAAGTAATAATCCAGGAGTGCTGACTGCTCTGGCAGTTTAAATTGATTTCCACCAAAGACATTTTGGCTCGTTTTAACACATCCAGCTCCAATCATGGTAAATATGAGACCAATTAATGACATTACTCGAATGTTAAAGAATGGTAAATCCATAGATGCAATTGACACAACTGTACCACTAAATGCAATTAGTATTGACATCCCAGTAAGTGTTTTATAAATTCCCCAGTAGCAGTCAGCGATAATAGCCCCAACAATTGAGAAAAAGTAAAGGCAAAACTCATTGACAGAATAAAGTGCTGTTGCTGTGCTTGGATCGAAATTGAGCTTTTGATTTAAATAAATTGCAAGAATCACTTGATTATAGAATTTACAAAATATTAGTGAAGGATTTAAAATCTATATTCGAGAGCGGCTCACCCATAAATCCACCAGCTGAGAATCTATCAAAAAATAGATTCCACAGGATGAAATAAGTGCCTGTAGGAAATTTCTGTTTTTTTAATTCACCCATTTCAACTATGTCTTATTCTCAAGAGGATTCTGATAGCAACTAAAGCTTGAATTCGAGATAAAATTACTAGATATCATCTTATATAGTCAAATACACTTCGTGAATATTCAAATATTTGTGCACGTTGCTTACCTTTTTGTTTGTAGTTCTTATATATCTGATATGAATAATACATGATGATAACTGCATTGGCAAAGGCTGCACTGTTAGAGATTTATCTGTGTATTTATTATAGATTTCCAGGATAAGTCAAAATTTTGTTTTGGGAAAGTTTTTATTTTCTCAATTAAATTATGCTATGTATAAATTCGAAAACCTTAAGGTCTAAGCAAATTTTGTCTCTGAGTTGAGCAATGTTCAATAGACTTTTATAAATTTCTCTTAGTATTCAATGAGTATGTTCATATGGTAGCTTATCGTACTCATAACCTTACTCACTGCCTTTTGAGATTCAATATTTCATTTAAATTTAATCAGCTAATTTAAATCTAATATTTCTAAGGATCTTCCTCGTCTATTTTTAGTGTAGGATTATGAACATCATGATATCTATAACGCTTAGCCAGAAACACAAAGAAAAATGTGTCAATTACCATTAGAAATGCATAAAATATAAATTCATTGACTAAAGAATCAAAGAGCCTTAATCCACTAATAGCAAAGACAATTAAGCTTCCGCCTGCAACTGACATGTAAACGGATGACGTCATTACAGACTTCATATTTGATGGAGCTTGCGTATATGCGAATGCAACATTTGCAACCCAAAGAAGAACTTCTGAGACTGCGACTATTAAATATTGTGGCAACAACCACAAGATAGAAATGAAGCCTTCGTTGATTTTTGTTTCTACATATGCAGACATAGCAAATGATAAAGCTGCACACACCATTCCACAGCCCATCTTCTGTAAGGTTGATTTAATTCCAAATTTTGCAAGGATTGGAAAAATAATTTGATTAAATAATGGAATCATGATCATAATCAGCAATGGTCCAACAACGATCATTTGATCAGGTTTAATCGTGTACCATCCAATATCGCCATTCATTCTTGTAGCTTGAAAGACCCAACGTGATGCTTGTTGATTAAGAAGAGCCCAATAAATTGGAAGTGGAAGATACATGGTTAGTACATTAAGAAGAGTCTTTGTATCTTGGACCAGTTCTGGTCCGTATTTTTCCTTTGAGAAGTCCAGCCAATGTTCCTTCTTTGCTTCCGCACTGATAGCTAAAAGCTTTTTCTGCATAGCGTACTAAAAAAGAAGAACACATTTTCATTTTCAAATAATGTTTTATTAAAAACGTGAAAGATGACGCATCTGTTGTAGCACGCGATTTATTCAACCGAATTATCTAATTTAATTGTTTTGTCAATTTTTTAAAACATATTTTGAGTAAACGGGGAAATCCACATACTGAAGCGTGTTTAGGATCTGCGATAAGAAAAACGTTTTGTTTTAAGAAACTTTTGATTCAAAACCAAGGTTTTTTTCTTAGTGCCTTAATGCTCTAATTGTTAAGGTAGGTGCAGAAAATCAAGTCTTAAGAAAAAATTACACTATTGCTGGTTTTGAAGAAATTTAAATAATGAAAATATTTTAAAGGGTCATTAACTTTTGATGTCGTTAGGAGAGGTTTGGGGTTGGGTAGATTTGTGTGACGTCATACATTCAAACCTTTGGCATCAACAGAAATTATCGAAAATCTCAAAAAAATCTGTGTTTCTACACGAATAATTTAATTTTAAAATAATCCAAAAAATATCATTATGATAAATTTATGCAGCCAGCATCCACGTTTTACAAACCGGATTTTATCAAATATCTTAAAATTAAGACCTACCTTAATGCATTTAACAACGTTAATCAAAGCATTTCCACCAGCTGGGACGACATGGACGAATGTATTTCTTCCAAGAAACAAGATGAGAAAAGCTACGGATATTGCTAATGTTGGTGCTCCAAACGCCACAGGATAGCAGGTATCTTCGCCAAAACATTTAAGATCTTCTCTCAAAATTGGAACCAAAACCATTCCAGTAACGTGGCCGAATTTCATGAATAAGTAATGAATTGAGAAATAATAATCAAGCAGGGCTGACTGCTCTGGCATTTTAAACTGATTTCCACCGAAAGCATTTTGACTTGTCTTGACACATCCCGTGCCAATCATTGTACATATTAAACCTATGAAAGACATCACTCGAATATTGAGAAAGGACAAGTCCATGGATGCAATTGACACAATGGTTCCGCTAAATGCAATGAGTATTGACATCGTCGTGAGTGTTCGGTAGATTCCCCAATAGCAATCAGCAATAATGGCACCGACAATTGAGAAGAAATAAAGACAGAATTCATTGACATGGTAGAGGGCTGTTGCTGTATTCGTATCGAAATCAAGCTTCTGATGCAGGTAAATTGCAAGAATTACTGTAGATTAAAGGAATTGAAGGTGAGTGAATTTTCTTTATTCATTTTCCGGGATTAAAATTGAGCTTTTTCGATGCACATTTTGTGTCACTAAGCGATCTCTCTGTTTATTTTACACGTTTTACACTAAAGTATTTAATCATTGACTCACCTATAAACCCTCCCGATGAAAATCTATCAAAGAAAATATTCCACAAAATAAAGTAAGATCCTGTTGGAAACCTCTGATTTTTCAATTCATTCATTTCGACTAGCAAATTAAATTATGTCTTAATCTCACAAAGTTCTAACTACAAATAAAACCTGATTTCGCAAAAACTCGATTCAAAAAGTTTATCTGCATGGAAGATTTGTCATTGTTTACATGTAAGAGATTGAAACAAGTAGAAAATTTTCGATAAGCTGTAAAAAAAAAGTAACGGAATTGTCATGTAAAAAACATTCGATGTTAGTGAAATTTTCGAGTAGCAATTTGATGTTATGACACTTTTAGTTTTATTTTCACTGTGTAGCGACATGCATTAAAATAATTACAAAATATTATTTTTTGTTCATTTAAACAATTTCGATGTAGAACAATTTTTAAAAAAGTTTTTGAGATTTTTTGTGGATTAATACTAAAATTTTTTGGGGTGAGTCAGTTACATTTTTGGTTTAAACTTTGAATCTAATATAAAAAAATTAATTTATTTTTTTAAGCAATTTTAATTAAAGAGATTTTAAATCTCTAAATTAATCAGATACTAATCATCATAATTATTTAAAATATCAATCTATACAAAGTTCATAAATTGAAACTTTGATTTAGTTCCAAAAATTAATTTACCAAGAAGATCATCATTTAATCTACAAAACATAAAAAAACAGTCCGACAGCCTACAGCTTCTAACTCTTCTCCAAGTAAGGAATTCCCATCCAGAAGATCATAAGTCTCAAAACACAAAAAAACATACTCAACGTGAAATTTAAAATCGAACGAATCGGGGTCTCTCGACTGTGTCATAGTCACATGATTTTGTTATTTAAGAACCAGAAAGGTGAATACGAATGGCATTTTTTTTTAGTTGAACGATCTTGCCAGACCGTAGAGCTGACGTTGAATAAGAACAAAATCAATAAGAATTCTGACTAAGAGTCGTATGAATTATTCATTAATAAAATTTTCGAACTTTTTTTTTGATCTGCAGAGAATTTACATACGATCATTTAAGTGGTTTTTGGATAATCGCTAGTTGTCTTAAACTAGTAGTTTAGCTGCAAAAGCGAAGAGTTGTTTGGGTTTTTCGAGAACAGCACTTGAGTAAGTACTTAACATTGTTTATTAGATTTTTTTGGTGGAATTTTCGTTAATTTAAATCTGAAGATAGATGTGATGAAGATTATAAGTATTGTAAACACCCAATTACCTCCCTGACTCTAGAGCGGAAGTCATGTGAAGCCAATGATTTGGGGACATGTTTGGGGAAGCCATGTGAAGTTTTGTGACGCCATTTATAAAGTTTTTGTGAAATTAAGGGGGTCCACGTTTGAATGGGCTTGTGAAGGCATGTGAAGTCATGAGGGAGAACTGACTCAAAAACATTAAAGTTTTCTGCCAGTTACAGTTATTTACAAAACAGTAATCAAATTTAAACCCTAATAAAAGACGCCCTCGAATAGCCAAGTTAATAATTAAAGTTGAGAAATAAAAGAATCCTGTTAAAATATTTTGTAGCGAAACTATCACGGCTGTATGAAAATGTAGAGGTACATCTAAGGATCTGCATAAAAAACACAAGATCTTATTGATTCTGTTCACATTCAAGGACTGTTAATAACAGAATTAGTAATCGATACAAAAAATGGCTGGAAGCAGTTTAAAATACGGGGGGAAGGGGGGGGGGGGACCAGAGAGAGGTCAATTTTTAACAGAAAATTTCATAGACGATTTCAAGCATTTCAAGTAATTAAAATCTGTTAATTATCTTGTCACATTTTAAAAGCACTTTATGAAAATTGAAAGTTTTAATTAATTAACAAATAGAAAATAATTAGGTTCGCAAACCCTTAATGACGTGCTTTCATTAACAAATTTAAAACTCAATTTCCGTATGGGTTTTTTGCATCTTTAAAAAAATATTCACATAGTCTGACAGTTTTTCTCAATTTTCATGCTAAATTTGTAATCTCTCTTCATTTAAGCAAATAAACAGTCAAAGCGTTCAACCTTATAAGATAACATCATCACTTACAAATTTCATGCTAAGTACATCAACTTTGCGTGATGTCTAGGTAAATTAAAACTTAATATATAGATAAATAAGCTTAATAATTATCTAAGGAGAAGCTTTGTTTTTTAATATAATATTTTTGCTGTCCACTTCCTCTAACGTCTTAATCATTTCATGATCGGTATATTTGTACTTACGTGTTAATAGACCCAATATGGTAACATCAATAGCCATTAAAGATGCAAAAAATAAATATTCATAAGCCTGAGATTTAAATATTGAAATTCCGCTTATGATGGCAACAATAAAATCGCCTGCAGCAATACTTAAGTACATAAATGCGACCATAACTGGCTTCATGCTGGCTGGGGCTTCTTTATAAGCGAAATTCAAATGTGCGAGATATGAGAAAATTTCAGCCGTTGCAATTACGGAAAATTGTGGGATTTGCCAGAGCATTGAGATGTAATTCTTTTCAACTTGAACTTCCAAGAAGGCTGAGATGATGAATGCAAAAATTGTGCATGTATATCCGACCATCATTCTATGTAGCATTGATTTAATGCCAATTTTCTCCATAAAAGGATAAACAAATCTGTCAAAAAGCGGAATGAGAAGGATGACCAATACGGAATTGAAGACAATCATTTGATCTGGTTTAATTTTATAAAATCCAATGTCTCCATTCATCTTTGTCGCTTGGAATATCCATCTTGAGCTTTGTTGCATGTGAAGAGCCCAGAACATTGGAACTGGTAAATACATGATGAGAACTTTAAGTACAATTTTTGTTTCGAGGACCAACTTATGGCCGTACTTTTCACTTGCATACTTGAGCCAGTGTTGATTTATTTTGTTTCCAGCTTTCTTTTGCCTTCGCCTCTCGATTAGTGCATACTGAAATATTAAAAAGTTAAATTTGATTCCTTTAATTGTTTTATATTTGAGCAACTGTTGTATGGTTGCGCTCAATATGAAATTCCTCGTAACACAACAGTTGCTTACTATATAAAACATATTATCCATGCAACAGTTGCGCGACATATGAAATTATAGATCATGCAACAGTTGCACGCTATGTATAATTGTCCAATTCAATTTACCTTTATACACTTTAATACTTTCAAGAAAACATTTCCATTCGATGGCACATGCAAATAATATCGACTTCCCATCAACAGTACCAATAATGCACAGAACAACATTATAGCTGGAACACCAAATGTTAACGTGTAGCAATCATTTTTTCCTAGACATTTGACATCCTCTCGCAATATTGGCATCGTAAAACGAGCCAGAAGACTTCCACATTTTAATGCGAAATATTGCGATGAGAAGAAAGTTTGCAATTGCCTCTCCTCTTCCGGCAATTTATGCTGATTACCACCAAACACATTTGTATTGCCTTTTATGCATCCACATCCAATGGCCATTATTATCAGTCCAATTATTACGAAGGCTCTTTAATGTGAAAGAAATAAGAAGAAGAGTTAGTTGCAGAGTAATGGAGTTAATGATGATATGGATGTCGAAAGGCATTGAAATGTATTTTAGTCAATTTTGAAGTTGAAATTTTAGTAAAAGTTTAGTTCTGAAGTTCCGTTAAAAAACCCGAATAGCACAAGTCGTTTAATAGAATAGGACTCCGGCATGGTGCTGGGTTCAAATCAAATCCAGAATCTTGCAAAAGCTACGCCAGTTTGGTGAAGGATTTCTATTCGATTAACCAAATTGTGATATTCGAGAATATTTTAAAGTCATTAAACGTGACCCAAGAGCGATTGTTTAGTATACAGAAGCGCCAATGCCTCTGAATTCCAAACTTTGCATCGAGACACACTATTGTGCCAGCTAAGCAATACTTTAAGTTTATCACTAGTCTTTATCCCATACAGAATAAACTTTAACTCTGAGGCAATACCAGCTCCTCCAAATGCATTCCAACTCCTTTCTAAAATCCCATCAAAACTCCATAACATCAGTCATACTCAAGCGGTAGATTTAAAAAATCTATCATAGCAATTGAAATAATTGCAAGTCCAAACATATAAAAGCATGACATAATGATGATTGATTTGTATAAGCCAAGCCATACATCAGCCAAAATAGCGCCAAAAACTGTAAACAAAAGCGTCATGCCTTCATACAAATGAAATATTGACGTTGATAAATTTTTATCAAGCTGCATTTTGTTGTATAAAAATAAAGGCATGATAGCTAAAAAATAGAAATTATCAATGATTTATAATGATCAAAGTTCTTGTGGATTTTTTTTATTACCTAACACTCCCGACGTGCAGTATCTCTCAAGAAAAATATTACAAATAATAAATGGCGTTGACTTTTTGGCTCTTATGATAATGCTTTCAACATTGTTATGCTCAGAACTTGACCCACTCATGCTTCAATTTAAAAACAACGAATATCACAGAACAAAGTTTAAATATGAACTGAAAATCCACAGCTGATCGGCGTAAAACTGACTTAATATTTTTTTGATAACGCGTAAGGTTGCTGTTGCTGATAAAGGCAATCAGTTAAGTCTGGCTACAACGTAAATATTTGTTTATGAGGAGAAGATGCTTCAATGCTAAATGATGATGATAACTACATGTGATGCTTTTATGATACATGAAAACTGTGCGCACTTATTTTTATTTTTAAAAATGTTTTAATGAAAATATTGACAGTTTGAGGTTCTTTGACATGTGAAATTTTGATAAAGCTTCAATTTTTTAAGGTGGGTTTTTCCAAGTTTCTCAGAATGACATAATAATATAAGTTGATTGTGCTGTCGTGAAAATTATGCGAATCATTGTCATATCGACAATACTCTTTGATAGTGATTGAGAGATCAGTTTCTGGTGGGATTCGAACCCACGTCCTCACAAAAGAGGTATAGAGATATTCGGTCTGTTGCTTAACCACTTGGATACAGAGGCCTAAGTCTCGCACTTGCAGATTTGCCTATATATGTCTCAATACCTCAGATTCCACTCTGTAAATAACTGATTAAGTGACGTAGCCAAAGTTCAAGAGAGGTGAGGGTAGAGCATGAAAATTCTATATAGGCCTAGTCTACAAATCGTCTAGATCTCGACAGTTTCGAAATAATCCAGTTCAATTTCTTTATCGTTATCACGTCAGCTAAAATCAATGTCAATAACCACCCGGAACGATTTCAAATGTTCCCACGAAGAATCAATAAAGCTTCACTTTTCAAATATTTACAGACTAGAATTTATTGCCTGATAAATAGCTTTGAACATTAAATATTTATTTTGTTATTAAACACATTTGTTGTTGACTTAAATTCTATAATTTCTATTTGTTTATTATTTTATTAAAAAACATTAAAAAAATTGGATCTATTTGTTTTATTTTTGTCATTAAAAGCTTTCATCTCTCTCATGCCTTAGTAAGTCGCTCAGTATCTAACGAATTAAGCAATTCATGATCCACGTGCTTATAATTGCGAGTAAGAAAGATCAAAACAACAATATCAAGAATCGTAAGGCACACGAAAAATGAGAACTCGTAAGCCTGTGAAGGAAATAACGAGATCGCACTGACGATAACAACTATTAAGTCACCACCAGCCATACTTAAATAAAGTAGTGACATCATGACCGGCTTCATGCTGGCAGGCGCCTCTTTATAAGCAAAATTAAGATGTGATAAGTACACGAAGATTTCGGCTATAGCAATGAGAACAAATTGAGGAATTTGCCATAGTATGGAGATGTAATTGTGTTGAATGATTATCTCTACAGCAAGTGAAAGCGTGAACGCAATGACAATAAGAACTCCGCCAAAAATTAATCTTTCGAGCATCGTCTTGATGCCAATTTTCGCAAGAATCGGATAAATGAATTTGTCCATAAATGGAATTAAAATTATTGCTAATAATGAATTAATGACAATCATTTGATCAGCATTAAGATGATACCATCCTAAATCGCCATTCATTTTAGTTCCCTGAAAAATCCATCTGGACCTTTGTTGCATTAGACAGGCCCAAAATATTGGAACTGGAAGAGAGATCATGATGACTTTTAGAGTTGCTTTTGTCTCTAAGACAAGTTTCTTGCCATGCTTATCTTCTGCGTAGTCTAGCCAGTGCTTTCGCTCATCTTCTGGTTGTTGTTTACTTCTCGACTTTTGTTTTATTGCGTTCTGTGAAAGGAATCGTAAATATTTATTCATAAATTTCTGTTGTTCTGTTAACTTAGAAATTATCAATCTTACCTTCACACATTTTATGACTTTGACTAGCATATTTCCATTTGGCTTTATTTTCTTATATTGTGAACTTCCAATGAGAAACGTTAAAGTTGCGAAAATCATGATTCCAGCAAAAATTCCAAATGATAAGGAGTAGCAATCATGATTCCCAAAACATTTTACATTCGCTCTTAACATTGGCGAAATTAATCGAGTCAAAAAACTTCCACACTTGACGCCGAAATACTGAACTGAAAAATATCTTTCGAGCTGTCTCTTCTGCTCTGGAAGTTTATGTTGAGCACCTCCAAAGGCATTTAGATTATTTTTGAGACTTCCACTTCCAATCATCATTATGACTAGGCCAAGAGGTATAAATACTCTGAAAAATTAAGGTTGCTGTATTTACTCTACAATGTTAGTATTATGACTAAGCTCTTAACAAGGAACGTAAGTCAATCAATTGACCAAGATCAGATTTTTTTTAGGGTTTGACTCAGATCTCTTGAAATTCCTGACAATAAGTCATAAAATTTTATACTTACGCAATTGGAAGATTTAAAGGATCAACCATAGCCATTGCTACAGTTCCAAGTCCTACAACATAAATAATCGATGTGGCTACAACTGATGCATATAATCCAAACCACGTATCTGCCACAATCGTTCCGAAAATTGTAAATAACAGCATTGTACTGTTAAATGTGTGAAAAATTGATGTTGAGGTATTTTGATCGAGACCAAGTTTGAGATGCAGGAAGAGTGGAAGGATCGCTGTTAGATTTTAAAGGAATTAAGAAGGGTATAATATTATAATGCAGATCTTTAAGTGAATTTGTTTTTTAAAGCTCACTTAAAACACCAGCTGTCACATATCGCTCTAGAAATATATCACAAACTACAAACGGTGTAGATTTGAGTATCCAACCACCATTCGCACTTTCACTTTCGATTGAGGATTCATCTTGAACATCATATATCTTTTTTTGCTTCATTACTTTATTATTGTTTTTATTATTTTCTTAAAATATCATCACACGAGCTACATTAAGACTAAAAGTAAAACTTAACTATCATTACATTATATATAACAACACTTGTATTTGATAACAGCTGGCAATATTTGTTAGGGCTTCTCATTTTTATTATGTTATGTAGAGGCGATGGTTTAATGGGGTCTGAAAACCTATTTTTAAGGAACATCATAAGTATTCGATATATTCAGTCTCGCCAGGCGCGTAGCCAAAGGGGGGGGGAGGGGGAATTAGGGGACAAATCCCCCTTCGTCTTGAAAAATTTCTTCATTTTGCTAGAGCTTTTATGAAACACTCGAAAAAATCCCCTCCCCCCCCTCTAAAAGTTTTCCATACAAAAAAACATCCCCCCCCCCCCTCTTCAAATTCCTGGCTACGCCCCTGAGTCTCGCTAATGTATAGTTGTTGAATTTAAATATTTAGTTCAACAGCTTTACAAAAGATCTTAAATCATATTTTATGACATTTTTAAGTTTTGTCAATTGACAGAAACCGGTAAAACTTTTTACTTTATAAGTGTTCTTTCTTTTTTCGCTCACTACCCTTCTAACCTTACTAAATCCAGTTTTTAAACTCGTCACTTATTTTCCAAATACATTTTGGCACAATGTAGTCCTCGAGAAACCCTAAACCCAAAACTTGACAACCTTTCATGTTCATCATGTCTGATAAGTTCGTCCGAACTAAGCATTATCAGAATCATTTAATTTACAAACAATAACATTGAAGTGAGTCATTCAAAATTCTGTACTTTATATCTTATTGGCTAAACACGAATCTTATCATTATTCTCGCCATTTTCGTCAATAGCTTTCAACAGGTCATGATCGACGTGCTTGTATCGTCGAGTAAGGAATATTAATACGATAATATTAACAAGCATGAGGCACGCGAAAAATGAGAATTCAAAGACTTGAGAGGGAAAGACTGAAATTCCACTGATAATGGCAACAATTAAGTCTCCACCGGCCATGCTTAAATAAAGTAGTGACATCATGACTGGCTTCATGCTGGCTGGCGCTTCTTTATAAGCGAAATTGAGATGTGATAAGTATGTGAAAATTTCAGCAATAGAAATGATGAAAAATTGTGGAACCTGCCACAGCATTGAAATGCGATTATTTTGAATTTGGACTTCCACAATTGCTGATAGGATAAAGGCAATGACAATCAGTATACCGCCAAAAATTAATCTCTGAAGCATCGTTTTGATTCCAATTTTCTCCAAAAATGGATACACAAGTTTATCAAGAAACGGAATCATTGAGATCGACAGCAGCGAATTGAATACAATCATCTGATCAGGCTTGATATTGAACCATCCTAAGTTTCCATCCATTCGTACAGCTTGGAAAATCCATCTGGATCGTTGCTGCATTAGACAAGCCCAAAATATTGGAACTGGAAGTGAGATCATGATGACTTTGAGTGCTGCTCTTGTTTCCATTACTAGTTTCTTTCCGTATTTCTCTTCCGCGTAGTCTAGCCAATGCTTGCGTTCCTTTTCTGTGGCTTTAATCTTTGACTTTTCTGTCAATGCGTTCTGTTGATGAAAATTTAGACTTTAAGTGACCTGAATTTACTTTTTAAATAAATTATCACGACCTACCTTAATACACTTGACAACCATCACCAGCATGTTCCCATTAGGCTTATTCTTAATATATCTAGAACTCCCAATCAAGAAAATGACCAGCGATATCAACATAATTGTCATTGGTATACCAAAAGTCATTGAGTAGCAATCATTCTTGCCAAAACATTTGATATCTTCTCTGACAATTGGAAATAAAATTCTTGATAAGAAACTTCCACACTTGACGCCAAAGTATTGAACTGAAAAATATCTTTCGAGTTGTTTCTTTTGTTCTGGAAGTTTGTGCTGAGCACCACCAAAGGCATTGAGGTTATTTTTAAGACTTCCACTTCCGATCATCATGACGATTAGGCCAAATGATACAAGGGTGCTGTGAAGTGTAGAAGAAATTAGTTTATTCCATGTCAGCATTAGAACATTAACCTCAAAAACTTACTAAACAGGAAACTCAAGAGTTTCTATCATAGCCGTAGATATTAACGCAAGTCCAGCAACATAAACGACGGACATGCCAATTACTGATTGGTATAAGCCGACCCATGTGTCAGCAATGATTGCTCCAAAAACTGTGAAGATTAGCATCATACACTCAAATATGTGGAAGATTGACGTGGAAACATTATGATCCAGTCCAAGTTTTTGGTACAGAAAAAGAGGTAGGATTGCTGTTGATGAAATTTATTAATTAATACATTTTGAAATTTAAGTCACAAAATCAAAATGCCAAAACTTATTTGTACAGTAAAAGTAAAAAATAATTATTTCCACGAAGTATGTAGAGCATACGTAATCATGTAGCACAATTCGTTGGCAAATTTCTAAAATTATTATACAAAATAACCATTTTTTTTTTTCGTTCAAATTTCAAAGAGCATTGATTTCGTGAGGAACTTAATCTCAACCTTTGCCTTTACAATGAGAAATAAAAAATCTCTCAAAAAGGTACTCAAACACAACATTTCTCGCTACGTCACTTGTTATTTTTACAAATTTAGTATTTTTAAGTCGCAAATATTTTTTGTAATCTTGAGCACTTTAGCTTATGAGACAAAGATCGGATGATCTTTATGTATTATGATTTCTAAAGTAGGTTTGAATTTATGAGGAAAAGTTGGAATATTTATGAAGAGTGCCAATTAGGGTCAAGATCACTTTATGATATGAAGTGCCTCCTACTTATTTTTTTAACTTGACTTTCCATAATCCGCTTGGGTTCTAAAGCATTATTAAAATTTATTTTAGTTTGAAAAGTTTCTGGCATTTTTCAAAAACATATTTTTAGATCAAATGAACCATTTAATCAATTTGATGGCAGTTAAATCAACTACTGTGCCAATTACAAAGGATTTCACTTGAACTAGTCGTAATAAGAATTATCGCATTTCTTTAGAAATTTTATTGATTAAGATAATTCTATTTTCTTTTTCTCATTGTGAACTCATTTCGACCTTTTGATTTTGTTCTTTTCACTTTTATTTTTCACAATTACAAAGTCGACATACTTAAGATTCCTGCCGTACAGAATCTTTCTAATGATATACTGGCGACAATATAATAAACTGATTTCGCCAACGATGTCGACAAATCTTTTTCTTCTGGTTCTTTCATTTCGTCTATTTGCACTGAATTCTTTTTAATCATTTTTCTTATGTTTTTTTGAACTTATTTTCACTTTATAGCACTTGATTCCTTATTTTTTTAAACCACATTACAATTCAAAAGCTTAACGAAAAATGAAAGTATTCTTGAATAAACTCTCGATTTTTATAGAATTTAAATAATAATGATAAGGACCAGAAATGCGATGAGGGAGACAGTCGCGTGTCACATGAACATTATTGATAACCTCTGAACGTTCCTGTTTACACTAAGTCGCAATTTTGTGTGTGAACATTAATCAATTGTGAGTTCAGGCAATTAATTAATCATTACATGCTAATTGCTTTTGAAATGTTCTGAAAATGATGTTTAAATTAGCTATAAATGCAGTTATGCATTGTTTATTTTTTGTCAAGGATTTGTTGTTGATGATTGTGTCTGGTTTTTTAAATTTATACTTTCAAAACAAATTTTGCCTCAAAAGTGCGTTCAGTAACAAGTGATGCAGAAATTTCGCATCATAAGTACGTTCAGTAAAATTGAAGCAAAATTTAGAAATTCAATTTTCTTTATCAGTTGATGCGAATTTCATTCAAAAAACATTTTTAAGTCATCTTCCCTCAATCCATCAACATAACACAGAACTAATTATAAGACAAATATGTATCCAATGTATAGTCAATAAATAATATAACATTTAATACAATCACTGTAAGACATTTAGTCATAAAAAAATCCAAAAAAACAAAGAATAAAACGATATACATGGCTGTATGGCATGTAACATACGTATGTGCCTTTAATAAAAATCAATTTTATGATCATTTTCAAATGGTGCTTTCAGAGCAATATAGACAAGTCGAAATGTGTTCATCTTATACTTATTGAAATGCGTTCCAATGCTAATTAACCATTCCATGTTGTTATCTAATTGAATTGATCTTTGAATAAATTTTGGACAGCTCACTCAGAAATCAACATATGACATGTTTCTTTTTCCTTTTTTCTTATTTCTTCGTATATGATGAACATTTTTTTGTGGCTGTTGATGTTTGGATTAGTTTGTGGTTTGTCGGACTAAGCATGAGTTGCTCAATGAGCTGGAAATTAGCTAGAGATTTAAGTACGGTGCTGACATGCTTGTTTTAATTGATGCTGTGAGCATTTCATGCTTACTAGTTTGACAGAAGTAGAAAACTTACTGCTTTTACTGTTTTAAGACTTGGATGATTCTGTCTTGGTACTATAATGACTCATAGGTGGGATTCTGGATCCGCTGCTCCCAACGCTTAGCTAGATATTTCAGTATACCTGACTTAAATCGTATCGCTAGCTTGGGGCCGGATTTCTATTCAATTAACCAACTTGAGCTGTTCGAGAAATTTTTAACCCCTAAGATTGTGTTTTTAGGCTGTAGCCTTGATTATCTTCCTAACTATGCCACTCTGCCTGTAATAAATAGCTGAAAATGCGCTCTTACCCCTTCTCAATCCTTCTAAATGATCACCAAATTGTTTTCGTAAAAATATGCCTCACCAATTTCAGAGAGATCACAAAACTAAAGCGGACTGTTCTTTAAAAAAAAAAAATATTTAATTTACTGTCAATCCATCAAAATTTAATCATATATCGGCGTCGGCAGCGCATATATCCGAAATGTGTGCTTCGTTAAAATCCATTAAATGTCTGAATGAAATTTACATAAAATAAACTTTTTTTCTCTCACATATTTTTCGTAAAAGCAAAAAAAAAGGGCAGATGGAACTTCCATTTACTTTATAAATGATCATCCATTTAGAATTATTTCTTCATTAAGCAGTAGCTGATTGCTGCAAAAATCAACAATAAGAAGGAAATCTCCAATTCTATTAGATTTGAAGTAACTGCATATTGAATATTCAAGTTAAAATGCTTAATGGTTTTGCGTGGTCCGTCAATCAAAGACAGGAGGAGTTTCTGCTCTTTCTTTGTATTATTTTACTTCTTCTTCTTCATCGACATGCTGCTCATTGTTCCGTTTCTTTTACATTTAATTATATTTAAATTTTAACAAGCATTTGTGAGCTCAATATTAAAAATTCAGAACCACGATGACACTACTGTGTGACGACTACTCTTCAGCTATAGATGGGGCTATTATGTACATACATTATATGTATAATACATTATTATGATATTAAATTGAGGTTTAATGCAGTGACTTCTTTTTAAACATGGACTGATTTTGTTGTTGACGTGATTTTGTAGGAAGATGTTGTAGATTGAGTTGCCATTTTGGTGGTAAAGAAGCGATGTTTTTTATGCTCCTGTCGTCGTCCTACTATTGTTAAAAACCTTTAACAGCTCTGAAACACCATTAAGTCTATGGAATGGAATTAGTGGCTTAAAAGGTCTCTTGGCCAAAAATTCTACATTGAATCCATTCGCATATTAAGTTGGAAATGTAATTTACTAATTCACTGAGCCAGTTCTTGGTGTGATGTGTATACAGTGTAATGTTATAGTTCTGTGCATGGAATGAGACTAATTTACGAGGTACACAGGAGCATACTAGCATCTGCATGGAATCGGGAATGCAACTTGCGTTAACAAATTTTGATTAGTATTTTGCTGGTTACATCAGATCTTTACCACTGTACTCGTGTTTTGGCAAATGCATAGAACTTAGTTGTACTTATAGATCCACTGGAAACTTTAGAACTTCATAGTGTCTTTGTCTTTAAAGGCCTTAGAGCCTCCTTCTTACCATTAATTTCATTTAAGCATCAAGAATCTACAAAAATCACCTAATTTCCATCAATTCCTTTCAGCCCTCAATCAAGCTCAACAATCCTCAACATTGTAAATTTATCACAGTGATCTATTGAACCTTAATGCATTTAAAGTCATCAACTCAACAGTGTCTTGTTAACTTACAATTTCTTCTAATAATAAAAATCGTGCCAAGATAATTTTCAACTTTGTTCTTGATTTCAACAATTTAACAAACAAAAAAAAAATAAAAGTAAAAGGAAGACAAAAGACAACAACAGCAGCCGTAAAAGAAGAAAAAAATTTCCATGCATAAATTTCAGATAATGTTTTTCTTTATTCCTTTGTGGATATACATTTTTGCTTACATTATTTTAGAAGCCAAGAAGTTCATCAGTATGACCATTTAATTGCAATCGAAGTGTATAGGTGGAAGAGGTACGAAAAAAAAGTAATGAGATTACAAAGATATGCCAGGTCTCAGTTACCAGTATTAAGTGTTGTTTTATGTAAATTAGCATCGATATCACCAACACAATATGCACTATGGACAATTTAATTCTTTATGCATTTTTGTTCCATCGTATTGATCCCAGTACATGAGGAGATGGTGTTGAAATGGAAAGAATTAAATAAATGAATGTGAGTTTGGGAGACTGATTGGTTTGGATTTTGGATGTGAGGATTAGAGACGCATTGAATGGAATTTTCATATGCCTACAATATATGCAAATTACTGAGAATTTCATTAAAAATTCGACAAAAATCCAAATATTTACCTTTAAAGACAGACGCTGTGGTCTACCACAGGCTTGCAGGTATAATGAATCTTCCAAGAGCCAAAAGTGTCGTACATCCAATAAACAAAGACAAATTAACCCAAAATTAAATCTCCATACCAAAAATCAATTTCCCTCAAACCCAATAATCCAACAAAAATGTTAATCACATCGAAAATCATCAATCCAACCTTAATAAATCAACAAATCACCCAACCCGACAATCTGCATTCATTAAACGATGGAAAAAAATGTGCTAAAATTATAAATTAATTTTTTTTTTCCTTCTCTTTCAAGTCTTGGCGAGCTCGCCAATATTCTGATAGAGATGTTAAACTGAAACGGTAAGAAACAAGACACTGTGCGCTTCAGACATTTAAATCCACTCGTATGACAATAAATCAATGTTTCGCTGTATTTATTCTTTTCTTTCATTCGTACTCGATGCTCTTCTTTTTGTTACACTGTATATTTACATTTTGGGTTCATTATGTGAATTAACCTCGAAGCCGTTTATTTAAAAGTGTCAATTTTTGAGCAACTGGATTGGTTGGTTGTGGTGTCATTTTGGGTTTTTTGTGACACAATTCCGGGTTAATGCAGCACTTAATCAGCAGCCTGAGGTATTGAGCTTTGCAAATAATGAATTTTGGGGTTAAGTATTAAGTATAGTTGAGATTCGAACTCAAGATAATAAAGTTTTAATAAGACAACTTTAAATACACTATTAGTAGATTAATTATTTTGGCAACAAAATCTATATTTAAATTTTTGGATATTTATAACTTTAAAGGTAATCGTCGAAAAGTCAAACTTAATGAATATAATCTAGAATAGTTTAGTGCAAGTTTATTGATTTTCCTCATAAATTGTAAAGTCATCCTTGATTTCAACCAGGAAATTTGCACGCTAAATCATCAATTTCATTCTGTTCGATCCAGTAAATGTAAGTCTTAATCTTCCATTCAATTAATAAATTAATCTACAATTCTCACGATCATGCTGTAATCACGCAACGAAAAGCGTCACTTTTGATACTTTGTACCTAGAATTTCTCAACTTTCGCTGTTCTCTCTATTCTCTCGAGATATTCAGAAGGGCTTTATAAAGTAAATAATTTATTATAATAAAACATTTATCGTGTTGGAGACTCTTTTTTTAAAAAAAAAGGTATTCAATACACACAACAATCGGTGGACGAAAGAAATTGATGATGGAAAGCCCACATTATTATTATACATCTGATGCTTAACAACTCATATTTATATTTCAACGTAAATATAAGTAAACAGTGATTGATGATTTGGCTACTTTTCGTTCAAGACAGAGAGGAAAAGAATTAAGGAAATATCGCTTACAGAAAATCTTTTAGATGAAAGATTTTTTTTTATGAATGAATAAAAAGTGGTCAAGACATGTGCGGTAATTACAATTTTTATTTTTTTTTTATATATCTAATGTATGTCTTCAAAATTTATTCCATATTTGATTTTTTTTTGTTTTATTTATTCT